TGGCAGGAAATATTCTAGGTATAGTCACTTTGTGTGTGTGTGTGTGTTTGAGACCATCCTCGTATGGATGGCAGTAGTGGTGTTGTCTTCTAAAATTTATTTTGGCACAAATGTGACAATTGTTGACACATAGTAAAGAGTTGTAAAATTAACATGGACAGCAGCTCAGATAATTTGGTCTTGGAAGAATTTGATGACAAATTTTTGCATTCATATTGAGATCTCTGACACTTGTTGCAGACTTTGGTGTCTTGGCCAACTGTAGCACATATTGAGACATGTTTGAGATCTCTTCTGAAACTCCTGAAGATGGAATTATTGTGGCCTGGTATTCAAAATATTTCTAGGAGAAACAACTGAGATTCTAAGGAGGTTTGTGATTTTTCTTTACAATGCATTTCTGTTGGTCACCATGGTTTGGCATTACAGTAGTGTTGACTCGAGGACTTTTTTGTGCTCTATGAGCTCAGAAGACATAATTAAGTTGTTTGTTAAATTTAAATGTTTAGGAGAAATAAAAACAGTCACAAAAGAGACAATTGTTGACATGCAGTAAGAGCGAAGAGCTGTAAAATGAACATGAATAGGTGAGTTCATACTGAGATTTTGGTGTCTTGATGAATCTGAGCGGCGTTTGAGATGTGAGATCTTTTCTGAATCGGAGGATGACATTATTTTGGGGCCTGTTACTTAGGAGCTGTCTGTCAGAAACAACTGAGATTTTAAGGAGGTCTGTGACTTTCCTTTCTTATGGGTTGTCATTACAGTAGTGCTGAATCAAGAAGAAAATGTAATTGCTCTTTAAAAGCTTAGACAACCTAATTGAGTTGTCTGTTAAAGTATCAACTTTGCATGATGTTTCACTTTAGATTCCTTTTAGGAGAAATACAATAGAAACAAATCCAACTGTTGAGGTGACAGTAAGATTAAAGAGCTATAAAATTAAAATGAATGAAATAGTTCAGATCATTCGGTCTTGAAATAATATGGCGAGAAATATTTTCATATTGAGATCTCACTTTAGTGTCAATTTTATGTCGGATGTTTCTCCTTAACAGCTCAGATAATTTGGTAATTTGATAATTTGGGAGAGTTTGCTGAGAAATGTTTGTGTTCATACTGAGGTCTCTGACCTTCTTTCCAAATTTTGGTGTCTTTGGTGGTAAATTTGAGACCTTTTGATATTAAACTCCAAAGGATCTTCCTAAATTCCTTTTAGGAGAAATAAATCAGACATACAATAAGATCTATTGATCTAAAGAACTATAAAATTAATCATGAATTCCTATTGAGACCTCATTTAAGTATCAACTTTGTCTCATATGTTTCTTTTTACAATTCCTAAGGAATGATTTGGGTTTGAGTATTAATATGATTGCACACTTTGAATATCCAAGCAAGTTTGAGACATACTTGAGATTTCTTCTGAACCTCCAGAAAAGGTATTTTTCTTAGAAGAAAGATCCGCAAACTTCTCCATTTAACCTCAAAGCTACGGCGTTTTTACAAAATGTTACAGTTAAAATTACACTTATTTTTTACAATGTAGGAGAAACAGTTGACATATTGAAGATATCTTTCCCCCCCTTTCCTATGGATCACCAGTGCACTAACACAAAAGAAAAAAAAAGCACAAATCGAATATCAAAAGTCATTGCAACCCCATAAAACATTTCTAATAGAGTGTCATAGTTACTTTTTACCCCAAACGCATGCAGGTACGTACATGAGGCATCTCATTCGAACATATCTCTGTGTTGTCGGTATCAGTGTGAGAATGAAAGCATGGTGTTTTAGCTGTCAAACGCTGCTGTTTTTTCTTGTTTACTGTTGCACGGTCTGTCAGCCATGGCCTGCGGTACTTCTTTCTTTAATAATACATCTCAGAGTGAGTAATGCCATTTGGATACAGGGAGCTCCGCGCCTGGCCTTTGCTCCCTGCACCTCTCCTCTCTCTATCCCTGGAGTGTGTTTCAACCCACGTATGTTTGAAGGAATTCTATTTGCCGGATACTCGCGCGCTCATGTATGCGAGAGCGTGCACTCGTGTATGTGTGTTTATAAGCTTGTTGAATTGAAATACAGCCAGGCAAGGTGGTGGAGGGAGGGGGGGGGGGGGTGTTTATTGCAAGGATAGGGGAATATCTCTCTCTTCA